TTCGATTTGAGCCAACGATGTGCGCAAGCTCAAAAACCGCTGAATAATCTTGCTGCGCCATAACACTGAAACAGTTTATTTCCTTTTTTCATATCGCGCTTCATCCAAACACAACTCAATACGGGAACGGTTAACAGTATTATTACTTCCTTAGTACGCCTACACACTTGCATTTTTCTCTCCCAGACATACTAAATTCACACTATTATCTCTCCTGGCACAGCAACTGAAACAATGGACGCTTCTTTATAGTGTCTTGAATGCGGAGGCTAGCAGGAAAAAACAAAAGAAATGCCACAATTTCCATCGAGAAAAGGTGTGATTTGTTTTGTATTTCCATCTTAGCCTTGCACTCACGGTTATTTTGAGAAGCGTCCATCAAAAGGAGAAAGAAGGCCTTCTCAAATTGAGCTACTGATTGGCTGACGAAACTCATGCTGGAATGACCAATACTATCGAACAGTCTTTGTGATGTAAATTGTTTCAAGCTAATACGCATACAAAACGAGTCATCATCGTGGATGTTCATTCAAGTACTTCACGCTCCGCATCCCTGACTTATTTAGAGCTGTCTTGACTTCAACGAGAGACTGAAGAAATACAAGGCTTTTCAAGTCTGTAGCAGAATAGCAATCATAAGCCACCAAGAGATCGGACCTGACTTCTAAGCGTAAGTCGGCAACATTTACCTGATAATTTAAATAAAGATATACCGTATTTTCAACAGTATAGCTAAAGTAGAATAGACTTGAATGGAAGAGTTAGTAAGGCAGCATCGAGAAACCTCGTTGTTTGAAAGATCATTTTTTCAAAATTATTTCATGCAAAGAAAATGCAGACAAATCGAAAAAAAAAAATACAGATATTAGGATTTCTCATATGAAATATTCTTTCCTTAAAAACCAAAATTTATAGGCAAAAAATTCGAAAGAGAAGAAGAAGGAGAAGAAGAAAAAAAAACATAGCTAATATAACAAAATACCAATTTCATTTAATCTTTATCCTTATTTACATCTAAATTTGATTTCTTTCGCTTGCTGTTTACATTATCAAATCATTTGTATAAACGCCAACAATCCTTAGCTTAAAGAACTTCACTATTACAATCGACCTATAAACAAAGCCGAGCTTTCTTAGATATCAATTGAGTATAAAATATTGCCATTACGTAGTCATTTTTACTGATAAAATTCTTTACACAACTGACTTTGATTAGCTGCGATTTAAATCCATTCGTCCTGATAATCTCATTCAGCGGAACGGATATCTAAATTACTTAGATTTAAATTAATGTTTTATAATATCGTGTGATTTTTATAGACAATTCTAATGAAATTGTCTCCAAAAGTTATTGATAATTGAGTGGGAGTTTTGATATTTTGACTGTTAATTAATCCAGAATTTTTTCAGCATGATAATTGTTTGTTATGGCCCGACCCGGCCTCCGTCATTTCCGACAGCCATACGTTCCTTTATAACTATGAGGTTGAAATAGAGCAAAGTTATGCACCTTTGAAATAGAGCAAAGTTATGCACTCGATTTTTCGATCCTCACTTCAGCGTTTTCTATGATTTAGGCTAGCTAACTTCACAATGGTTTTTTAAAACCGGTCGTCGTCATAGCAATACGAGGAACGAAAGTTGAAGAGGTTACTGGGTCTTTGATACCGAAACAGACATTAGAACAACGACAAATAAAAAATAATAAAAAAAAGGAAAGCAAATGAAAATAAATAAATAAAATAAATAAATAGAATAATTGAATTGAATTAAATTAAATTGAATTAAATAAAAGAAAAAAGAAAAAAAGCGAAACATTAAAAAAAATTCCCATTTTTGCATCGCATTTACGGAAGTCAGAGCTTGCTTTCAATCTTTCTCCGAGGACATGCCCTTGACATTGCGTGTATACGAACTGAAAGATAATTTCGTCCTTCTTTTCCTTTCCAGCTATCTACCGCACAGAGCGCTTTCGCTCTGATAAATTGTAAATAGATCTTTAGTCACGAAATGCCAATAACTAAATAAATATTTATACGTATATTTAATAGCAAAATGTTTTATTCATAAATTTCTAGTTCTTTTCTATTTAGAATTGTGTTACTTTTATCTCAAAGAGTTTGTATATTTTTGTATATAAAGTGTAGCTTAGCTTTCTTCGCCTGAGCTTGTAAGTAGCTTTCTCTTGTACTGAATTTTTTATGGCTAAACAACAAATAGGTTTAAAAAAATCAAATTCTAAATTATAATTTGATCTATAAAGGGTCTAAATGGAAATTACTCTGTGTAATTCTGGTCACCATACTAAATATTGTGTAGTGTTATTTTGTTTTTTGTTTTTGTTTTTTTTAATTATTATTGTTGTTATTATTTTTTGCGTAGTTAAAAGTAAGAAGGGAACGCAAGGCAGCGAGAAATTTCACATTCTTTTGTTAATAAAAATCGTTTTTTAAAGTATAAGAGAAATAGTTCAAGATTGCCATTGAAGGCTTGAACCTGAAAAATGGCGGATGTCACAAAGACATTGATTGGAATCATATAATTATTAGAAAGTTAAAATGATTTAAATTCGGGGTGTGTTTTCGGTGCTATCATCCTATAGTTTCGAATTAGTGGAAGATTAATATTTACGAAGTCATGAGTTGTCTAACGCAGGCATTGTGATTAGATGGAATGAAATCGAATTTGCTAGTTTTCAGGATTGGTCTAGACAGAGCGAAAGCCTTTTGAAAATTAGCTGTACTAGTTGTTTAAAGCAAAAGCAACCACAACAATGAAAAGCAAGGAAAAGTAAATGAAAATTATTTAAGGAAAAATATTATTTAACGAATTTTTGTATTATAACTTTTCTAAAAAGACACCAATAAAAAGAGAGAGGAAAATAAATAAAAACACAGCATAGATAATAATATTCGGAATTATTATATTAGAATTGTTTTTTCTGTTATTTATATTTTATTTTGAACTCAAGAATAACAGTCTTATATAATTAATTAAAGACTTTAGTTCTTAAACAAAAAAATATTTACCCGAGAACAAGCTAGCTTTGAAAACCGTGATTAAAACGAATTCGAATTATCAAGAATTTTAAAACAAGTGATTTAAAGTGAACGAACTAAAAAGACTGAATTAAAAGTAAATGAATATATTCTTGCCAAAAAATATTCTCCATTAATTAGAATATTTAGTTATTAACAGTTTTAGTTAATAGATTTGATTCAAATGATATACAAATGTGTGAAAAGTTGAAAAAACTAAAATGAAAACTGTTTACTCAGTACATCTAAAAAATACATTTTTTT